ATATGCCCTAATTACTTCAAGAGAAAGATCATGGATGTAGTGAAGCAGGACATGCAGAGGGTTGGTGTGACAGAGGAGGATGGAGAGGTATAGAGTGAGATGGAGGCAGATGATTTGCTATGGCGACCCTTAAAGAGAGCTGCTGAAAGAAGACGTTTTGAGCTTTAAACAGTTTCCACAAACTAGTTGACACAGTAATCTTGGGGATTTTTGGACAGCTTGCTTGTTTAGTCTAACCTCAGCTAAATCACTGCTGTAGCTTTCTGAAACACTACATACAGCTGTGTGTCTTGCAATGTTGAATGCTCTCCTGTGTGTGTGTGTGTGTGTGTGTGTGTGTGTTTGTTCTTTTTAAGGCAAATGGTGTATGATCCAGAGGATCCCAGATGTGCTCGACTCACGCTCACGGGCAAGATGATGGAGGTGGCCCCGGAGGAGCTTGCGTTTGCGAAGGAGGCAGTGTTCTCAAGGTAACAGAGCATGTAGAAGATGTATTTTCCTTAGGGAAACACCATTTGGCATGCGTGACATGTATCCTGATATTTTGCACGATGTTTCAAAGGCATCCTGTTATGGCAAAGTGGCCAGTGGGACACAAGTGGTTCTTCATGAAGCTCGAGTTGATTCAGATCTGGCTGCAAGACTGGGTCGGGGGTACAACGCTCATTCCACTGGAGGACTACTTTAAAGCTACTCCTTTCTGAGAATATCCCTCAATTTGCACAAATGCTATCTGCCCCACAGATATCACTCCAGTAAGGTGTTCACAAATTCACAAAGCAGAATGTGCAAAGAATGTTTTACATCTTGTTTAAAATCCTGTTTCAATTCATCTGTAAGGCAGGGGTTGTTCTTCATGCCTACATTTTCTCTTCTTTCATATCTTTGTTTGTCACACAAGATCAGTTACTTGTGTTTGATGCGTGAATGTATTTATAGTCAATAAATGACTTAAACTCCTCTCATCTGTGAATGCAATTTGTTTGAAACATAGATTGTTTGTTGATTGCGTCTTGGGTTCACACTAAGATGCGTTTTTTTTTTAAAGAAATAAAATTAATATTGTGCATATTATTTAAAGTAAATATAAATTTGTTGTCTATTGTTAGTATTAACTGATTCACACTCCTAAACCTGTCATTTTTATTGTTAAACACAAATATGGTGATTGTGTTATTAACAATAGAACATAGAAAATAAATCGAATGTTTAAATTGAGATATTTTACTGCTGCATGAAAAAAACAACTCATTTTGAATTTGACAGCAACTTGTTTCAAAAAACATTGGGCAGCTATTTTTTGCACAGTTAGACCCTTTTAAATTTCATATTCGAATATGCAGTTTAAGTCTTATCATTTGCTTGCATTATGTTCTGCGTTGAGAGGGTGCCAGCTGATAGCAGAGATCGTGCATACAAGTACAAGCTAAAGCTTTGGGCACTAGATGGCGTGTTGGGGGGGAAAAATAGCCGGTCGGTGGAAAAAGCACAAGTTTGATATTATAGAGGTTTCTAGTCATTTCACAACAATTTCCACGTCAATAATGCTGGTTTATTTTATTTTATTTGTTAGGTTTCATCTACAGTGGAGGGTTTGAAACTTAAAAATGATTGTGTTAAAGTTGGAGTGAGAATTTAACAGATTTTTTTTCCAGGTGCAGCAATGATAGCTTTAAACAAACAAAGATATGAAAATAGCAGTCCTTTCAAACACCTGGAATGACTGCATGCTCGTCACGTCGTGAGTTGCACCACTGTTGTCGACCACAAGAGTGAGTCGAGTGAGTGCTTTATTTTGAAAGTTCTTACCGGAAGCCCAGTTTGCATATACTACCGTGTAGGGCACGCTAATTTCCCTAAAAAAGCACCCAAGTAAGACCGGTTTATTTTTATAATATGTAAAAAAAATCATTTGCGCTTGGGTAATTTTAGGGGTTGTGTTAATTGAGGTGTGCCGTAGAACTCCTCCGCGACAGTCAGCGCAGAATGAGCCCCCTGTTCGTTTGGCTTTAGTTTACCCGGCTGGTTTCAACTTCGTGTTAGCTCGTCAGCTAAGTAGCTAACAGACGTTCTGTCGCAGTATGCGGGTCGACTAGCAGTGACGGTTAAAACTTGGTTGTTTTGTGGAAGAGGCTCAGTGAGTTAGCCGCACTCTACCGTGTTTATTTGCGTATGTTCTAACCCTGCTCTCCGTTAAAGCGAATCAACGTGATTCGAGGCGTAGCCTTTAGGACACCGTCAGAGACCCACCAGCCTATCCCGGACGATCAGTAGTCACACTGTTGAGATGACATCTACTTGTAACTTGTAGCTTAACGGCTGGCTTTGAAAACACTATGGATTGTATTGGCAACTAGTTCGTTCTTTTTAAACCCACAATGTAAGCTATATTGTCTCACAAACAAAGCAGCTGACTGGTAACCGATAGGCTAGGTTAGCACGTATGTTTTTTTAGTCCCGTGAACAACGAAAAGAGAAGACGCTCCGACAGGGCTACAGCAGCGCCCCTGTTTCCGTGCGCAGAAGTCGGTGTTCACCCTCCCCGTTAAGCGGAGCGTTTTTACGGGTTGAAGCACCCTATGCCCGTGCCTACGCCCGTCTCCACATCCTGAAGCCAGAGAGCGAGAGACGGAGGGAGGGAGGGAGGCAGTGGCAGCTCCGGGGTCCCCGACACTCAGCCGAGGAGAGGCATCGCTGAAATGAGATGAGGCTCAGAAATGGAACTGTGGCCACTGCACTTATCTTCTTCACGTCTTTCCTTAGTCTCTCTTGGTATACAGCGTGGCAGAATGGCAAAGGTAAGTTGGACATTTATGTCATCTTGGTTATCCCCCCCACCCCGTATAAAAAAATGTCAGAAGGATCGACGGTCTCCAGACGAGGCCTGGTTAACAAGCTGGCAGGCAGAAAGCTGAAGCATGACCAGCAAGCAGCATGTCTAAAGACACAGCAGGTGAAGTCATCCATCCCGTGGAACTGGTTTCAACGTGGTAATGCGTAATAACCCGTGTTATCGCTATAATAAATGGATGGAGTTCTTTTGTTTTAAGCTTTATTGTGCCCCCTCTCCTGTCCCAGTTAATCATACCCAAAGTGCTGTTTCCAGCCATCCTCAGTAACTTAGGGATAATCTAGTTTGCCCCTGCCAGGCAAAACCTCTAGATAATTACGCCATTCACTAACATTAGGTTTCTGCATACACGTCTTTAATGACTCTCATCTTAGCATTACATGTCAGGCATCTGTGCCTGGGCTTATTACACAAGTGTGGCTGTGTTACAGTACACAGCTTATGGCTGAGTGCTTACTTTCCAGTGTGGTGTGGGCAGGAATATGGGCCTTGGTCTTGTTACCAGCAGGGTGTAAATAATTGCAGCCCATATATAAATTCCAAACCAGGGATTCAGGTTGTGATTACTGCAGAGCTTATCAGCTTGATGAAATGTTTTCTTTTAAATGGAGCAGGCTCAGACTGGTCCGGTGATTATATGAAAGTGGGCGTATGTGGGGTTAGAGGTTATGAGATGATGCCTCCATAAATGTTGCACCTGTTGATACAGTTAGTAAGTCTGTATGGGATAAAGCTATGGCAGGTCTGTTCAATTTGACAGTTGTCACAAGCCAACAAAATTAAAATACTGGCTACTGGTCTTTATATAAATCCTTAACATGTACTGTTTAATTGTGGCTCACAATGTAGATGATGTGCTCACCTGTACAACTTATAAACCATTAAGGTTGCCATTAAAATACAGTGCATGTGTCCAACCATGGTTATCCAGTAGCAAGTGTATGAGAAAATTTGTTATTTTAAATTTGACTTCACACTTGTCCACAAACCATCTCCACATCTCATCCCTGTGAACACAATAACTCCGCTGCTCTGTGAGGATATTTCCTCAAACTTGGCAGAAATAGTCTTGTATGCATGGATGAAGTGATTAAATATTTGTGCTCTGACAGAATAAAATAATGAAGTCACAACTTTTTATACCAAAAGGTTACCTTCGATTTGACATAATCATACCCTGCATGAATACGTATCTGGACATTATACAACGGCGTAACTCAGGAAGACAAAGGTAGACTGTAAATAAATGTAGCCTGGGGTGGGCGGTTTAATTTGTTCGAACTTAAAATAAATTTTTGCTTCTCAATTGGCTAAAATAACAGAAAAATACATAGCTTTATTTTAGATAGTTAAAAATAGTTTTAGTTAAAATGACATTTTTCCTTCCCATTATCACCAACTGCGTACATTTAGGTGTTTGTCTGATTGTTGGAGTTTCACTTTTTATTTGTTATTCCAGGATTTTTACTGTACAATGAAAAGTGACTTGAGGCGACCGTTGCTGTGATTTGGTGTTATATAAATAATTAAAATCCCAAATAACTATTTTGAACCTGGTAAATCTGTGATTGCTGCCAATAGTCTTCAATTGTAACACTGAAATTGTGGTAATTGAGTATTTGGTTGTGAGCCAGGTGTGCTTTAGAATTTGTAGCTTCCTTGCAGCAACACTCAAATCTGAAAATTTTTATACTGTTATTGCCACAACTAAGTGTTCACACTGGGCTTTATTTGTGAAGCTTGTAAATACCTGCAAGGAATTTGACTTTTGTGTTACTCACAATAAAATCACTCCCTAATTGTAGACATACAATTAGAACAAGAGAAAAAAGCTCAGCAAAGTTATTTCCGGTGATTGTTCCTGTTTCACACATTTAAATCTTAATATTCTTTTACAGTCAACGTCTGTAATGAAACAGAAAAATACAGATATGAAAATGCAACCTGTCTGGCAAGTTGAGCTGATAGTTCTGTTTTTCCTAGTCTTGTGGTAATGAAATCCAAATATTGCTCAGTATGGAGTTATTATAACATAGATTTGATCTTGTCCTAGAAGGAGAAGAACTGGTGTCACTTAAAACAAAAACCATTAACTTATTGTATTCAGCTCGGCCTTCGTAGTGGCAGTTAAAGCTCTATGCTCAAAACTAGGATCCTGAAACTGACCTGAACTCAGCTGTTGTCAGTTTTATTACAGCGC